AGTTCTTCACCTTTGTGGTTCCTTCAAAGTGATTTTGCAAGATATCCCAAGCTTCTTTTGCTGTTTCACATCCCTGAATTAGTTCGAACTGGTTTCTTCCAACATTAATGTGAATAGCGGTGAGTGCCTTTGCGTTGTACTTTGATTTTTTCAATTCATCATTAGTCCAGTCCTTCTCCGGTTTAGAAACCTCGGCTCCTGATTCATCCTTGATTTTTGGTTCTTCCCACTTTTCCAATATGGCTTTCCAAGCATAGACATCAATGCCTCTTATAACCGCCTTCATCCTTGATTTCCAAAAACCATAGTTTCCATCATTCAATATTACTCTTGACCCGATGTCAAGTCCATGATAGCTCTCCATCTTCTCCACAAGATCTCACCTGTATGCAATCCTCACAAGTGACCGCTCTGATACCAATTGAAAGTGCAAAAACTATTAAGTACTTGAGAACTAGCTCACGATTTAAGACAGAAACTGAGTCAGGAACTGAGTCACAAGCCGAGACAAGGATTTCTTCTTAAAACTCTTTTGATTAATAGAAAATACGTTTACAAGGTCTTCCTTAAACTATTTTCTATTCTCTCAATCTCTCGTTCTTAGATCACAACCCGATCAAGAACTCTCTCAAGACAAATCCCTTAGCCCCCTTAAGCATTATGCTTTCTCACAAGAAACCTCATAACCTTAGTGTCTAAGAATTCTCTTTCTCTCTTGTGCTAAGCTTTTCTAAAGCCTAAGCACCCTATTTATACTAAATAGGTCGTGACTATACAACAAGCCGATTTCCTATTCTAACACTAATAGGAATAGACAATATCCTTTTTCTTTAAGGATTAGGAAATTATCCTTTCTCTTCATGTTTCTTTTTCCTCCTATGAAAAGGAAACTCTTCAGTCTTCTAGAATCTTCTCCAAGCTTCTAGTATCCACAGCCAACCGCCATAGACCGACGACTTTACCAATTTCCAAATACTTGCTTCACGTAATTCTGTTCTGTTGAGCTACTTCTTGTACTACTCTGAACTAGTTCAACGACTACTCCAGCAGCTTCATCTTCACTCTTCGCCTTCTATAAATGTCGCTTTTTGTTTCTCTTCATCTTGATATAAAACTCATTAAGAATACATCAACAGAAATGCATATCTTACTTAATCCACAATGCATATCTTTCAGTTTTGATATGTATCAGCATCGCTTCTCTATATATATGAATCCATCCTTGTATATACAAACCCTAATATTCATCTCCGAAAATGTCTAACCCTAAAGTTTTCTTTGATATGACCGTCGACGGCAAACCGGTCGATCGGATCGTGATGGAGCTCTTCGCAGACACGACACCGCGGACGACCGAGAACTTCTGGGCCTTATGTACCGGCGAGAAAGGCATAGGGAAGAGTGGTAAGCCACTCCATTACAAGGGATCATGCATCCACCATGTGTCTATTAAGAACAGAGATCCAATCTCAACAAAAGAAGAAGCTGAAGATTCTAACCTAGCTAAAGAGAAAAAGGGTTTCTCGGTTTCAGACAACAAGAAGACAAAACAGGAGCCAAAGATGCCCTTATCAGAAAACAGGCCCAAGTCCAACAACATAACATCAGTCTGGAAGCCCAAGTCTCCAACAGAACAAACCAAGCCCAGCAAGCTTGAGCCCAGTCAGTCTTCAACTCTCCAACGGTCCACTGCAAAAGAACAAGAAGACAAATGTGAGATTGTTGAGAAGGAAACCTCCAGGAAGCTGCTCAAAAGTAAAAGCAACAATGACAGCTGTCTTGGTCAAGATATTAAGCTGACCAATAGGTTTGAGGCTCTAATGGATGAGGATCAAAGTTAACCTAGTTAGTCTAGTATAAATGTGAAACCTTAATGTAATCGAAAACAAAAGAGAGAAATAAGATGGAAATCATTTCAGTCTCCTTCACACCTTTCATCTAAAAGCTCTCTATTTTTATGGTATCAGAGCCATGGTTAATCCAACCATGGATCTCTATAATTATCCTAAACTAAACATCTTAAACTGTGTTACCCCAAAATTAACACAAAAGAACTATATCTCTTGGAAATCACAGTTTGAATCTTTTTTGTCGGGTCAAGACTTACTTGGATTTGTGAATGGGTCATCTCCTGCTCCTGCTGCAATGCTTCAAGCTCCTCAAGTTGGTGGAATGGCTCTAACAGTTCCAAATCCAGATTACAGTGAATGGTTTAGAGCAGATCAAATCGTCAGAGCTTGGCTTCTTGGCTCTCTCTCTGAAGACATCCTTGCTGAAGTCACAGGAACAAAAACAGCTCAGGAACTGTGGTCAGCTCTTGCAAAACATTTCAACAAGGTATCATCTTCTAGACTATTTGAGCTATAGAGTAAACTACAAACATCTCAAAAGCTAGATAAGTCTATGAGTGATTACCTAAGAGATATCAAGAATGTTTGTGAGCAACTAGCTTCCATAGGCAGTCCTGTCTCTGAAAAGATAAAGATTTTTGCTGCATTAAAAGGCTTAGGTAGAGAGTATGAACCCATCAAAGTCTCTATAGAAGGAATGATAGATTTGTCACCTGCTCCTACCTTTGAAGATATCAGTCCTCATCTCAAAAGTTATGCTGACAGACTTCTGAGCTACAATGTTGGTGTGGAGATCTCACCTCATATGGCCTTTTACACAAATGATTCTGGTAACTCCAATGGTAGAGGAAGAGGAAACTCCTATGGTAAATCTGGTGGTTCCCGTGGAAGAGGAGGCTACTACACTACAAAAGGAAGAGGCTTCCCACAGCAAATAACTCAGAGTTCTTCCTCCACTGGTTCCTACAACTCAGAAAACAAGATTGTGTGTCAAATATGTGGAAAACCAGGTCATCCAGCTCTGAAATGTTGGCATAGATTCAACAACATTTATCAATATGAAGAGTTACCTGCTGCCTTAGCTGCTATGAGAATCACTGATGTTACAGATCACAATGGTCATGAGTGGGTTGGAGACAGTGGTGCAACAGCACACATCACAAATTCTCCTCACAACCTGCAACATTCACAACAATATGGAGGATCAGACACAATCATGGTTGGCAATGGTGATTTCCTGCCTATCACACACACTGGTTCAACCAGCATCTCTTCAAGCTCAGGTAAGCTACCTCTAACAGATGTGCTAGTTTGCCCAAATATTGAAAAATCATTACTTTCAGTATCTAAACTTACCAATGACTATCCATGCTCTGTGAATTTTGACTGTGACACTGTGCGTGTGGTTGATAAGGCAACAAAGAGAGTGCTGGTTCTGGGAAACAACATTAAGGGTCTTTATGTTCTGAAGGACACCCCTGTTCATGCCTACTACTCTACACGTCAACTATCAGCTTCTGAGGATGTTTGGCACATGAGGTTAGGGCATCCAAACTCCCAAGTCCTTCAGCAACTGTCAAAGATCAAAGCAGTTCACATTAATAAGAGCTCCAAAGGATTGTGTGAAGCATGTCAGTTTGGTAAAAGCTCAAGATTACCTTTCACCCTCTCAAGCACGACAACCTCCAGGCCTCTCTAGAAGATACATTGTGACCTATGGGGACCTGCTCCAATAATGTCAGTGCAAGGGTTTAGATACTATGTTATTTTCATAGACAACTTTTCTCGGTTTTGTTGGTTGTATCCACTCAAAAATAAATCAGATTTTCTGCAAACCTTCATTGTCTTTCAAGCTATAGTGGAAAATCAGTTTCAGAATAAAATTGCAAGTTTTCAGTGTGATGGTGGTGGTGAGTTTACAAGTACCAAGTTTACAAGTCACCTACAACAACATGGCATTCAACAACTGATTTCTTGCCCACATACTCCACAACAAAATGGATTAGCAGAGAGAAAGCATAGACACCTGGTTGAGTTAGGATTGGCTATGATTTGTCAAAGCAGGCTACCTCTCAAGTACTGGGTTGAAGCCTGTCATACAGCAAACTTCCTCATCAACCTGTTGCCAACCAAAGTCCTTATGAAGCTCTACATGGTCAGAAACCAGAATATACCTCATTGAGAGTCTTTGGCTGCACTTGCTATCCAACCCTGAGAGATTATGCAAGAAATAAGTTTGATTCAAGGGCTCTGAAGTGCATCTTTCTAGGTTATAATGAGAAATACAAGGGTTACAGGTGCTTACTCTTGTCTACAGGAAGGGTTTATATAAGTCGTCATGTGTTGTTTGATGAACAAGACTTTCCTTTTCACAGGATAACACCAACTCCTCAGATGACTTTCACTCCTCTTCTTGCTGCTTGGTACAAGAGTCTTCCTCTTCAAATCAGTAAAGAATCTGAAGAACAAGCGGTCAAGATGTCAGAAAACATTTCAACTACTTCTGAAGATGCTAATATTGTAAAGCCAATTCTTACCTCTCAAGACTCTCCATCACTGATCTCATCAAGTCCTCCAGCATCACCCACTGTGCATCATGGAGAGAATTATGGGTGTACGGCAGGCTTTGATCTTGTTCCTATAGGCAACAGTTCTCTTCCATTGTTGCACAGTATTGATAATGCTGACAATTCCCTGAGTGACTCTTCAACAACATCTCAGACTGAACCTGTCAACAATGAACAAAACAATGATCAACATGAAAATCCAAATAATGATCCACCTGCAACAGAAGTTACATCAATCCACCCTATGGTCACAAGATCACAAGCAGGCATTAGAAAACCAAATCCTAAATATGTTCTGCTTACCTCAAGAGTTGCTTATCCAGAACCAAAGACGGTTACTACTGCTTTAAAGGATTCTGGTTGGAATGGAGCAATGCATGAAGAATATGAGAACTGTCAAGAAGCTGAAACTTGGTCCTTGATTCCGAGAACACAAGATATGCATATTCTAGGCAGTAAATGGGTCTTTCGCACAAAATTGAATGCTGATGGTACTTTGGATAAACTCAAGGCAAGATTGGTGGCTAAGGGGTTTGATCAAGAAGAAGGCATTGATTATCTTGAAACCTACAGCCTGTAGTGAGAACAGCCACAGTCAGGTCAGTTTTACATCTTGCTACAATTATGGGATGGGAGATTAAACAAATGGATGTTAAAAATGCATTCTTACATGGAGATCTTAAGGAAACAGTATATATGACTCAACCTGTTGGCTTCATTGATCCTGCAAAACCAGACTATGTGTGTCATCTTCATAAGGCTCTGCACGGCTTAAAACAGGCACCAAGAGCTTGGTTTAATAAGTTCAGTACTTATCTTTTGGAGTTTGGTTTCTTCTGCAGCATGTCAGATCCTTCCCTGTTTGTCTACATCAAAGGCAAAGCTATTATTTTACTTTTACTCTATGTAGATGATATGGCTATAACAGGCAACAATTCAGAAGCTCTAACTATGTTGCTGGTGGAGCTCAATAAACGGTTCAGAATGAAGGACTTGGGTAAGCTGAGCTATTTTCTAGGAATTCAAGTACAGTTTCATTCAGGGGGACTTTTTCTTTCCCAACAAAAGTATGCAGAAGACTTACTTGCAGTAGCTAGAATGCTAGACTGTGCACCAATGCCTACTCCTCTACCACTGCAGTTAAACAAGGTACAAGATCAAGATAAAATCTTTGCCAATCCAACATATTTCAGGAGCTTAGCTGGGAAGCTGCAGTACCTTACACTTACAAGACCAGAAATACAGTTTGCAGTAAACTATGTCTATCAAAAGATGCACATGCCGACTGTCTCAGACTTCAACCTCCTAAAAAGAATCATCAGATATATTAAAGGAACCATCACAATGGGTATTTCTTTCAACAAAGATGCAGACTGCACATTGAGAGCTTACAGTGACAGTGACTATGCTGGTTGTGGCTCTACACGACGATCTACAGGTGGCTTTTGTACCTTTCTGGGCACCAATGTTATATCCTGGCAGTCACAAAAGCAACCTACAGTAGCAAAGAGTTCAACTGAAGCAGAATATAGAGCCTTATCAGAAGCAGCATCGGAAATTACCTGGATCTGCAAAGTATTGAAGGAACTTGAGATTCCTCTTTACTGTCCACCGGAGCTGTTCTGCGACAATCTCTCTGCAGTTTACCTGACAGCAAATCCATCTTTCCATAAACGCAGCAAACACTTCCAGACACACTGGCACTATGTAAGGGAGCAGGTTGCCTTGGGGAATCTCCGGGTCACTCACATACCAAACACTCTTCAGATCGCGGACATCTTCACCAAATCTCTTCCGCCTGGACCTTTCAACTCTCTTCGATTCAAACTCGGCGTCGATGTGCCACCTACTCCGAGTTTGAGGGGGACTATTAAGAACAGAGATCCAATCTCAACAAAAGAAGAAGCTGAAGATTCTAACCTAGCTAAAGAGAAAAAGGGTTTCTCGGTTTCAGACAACAAGAAGACAAAACAGGAGCCAAAGATGCCCTTATCAGAAAACAGGCCCGAGTCCAACAACATAACATCAGTCTGGAAGCCCAAGTCTCCAACAGAACAAACCAAGCCCAGCAAGCTTGAGCCCAGTCAGTCTTCAACTCTCCAACGGTCCACTGCAAAAGAACAAGAAGACAAATGTGAGATTGTTGAGAAGGAAACCTCCAGGAAGCTGCTCAAAAGTAAAAGCAACAATGACAGCTGTCTTGGTCAAGATATTAAGCTGACCAATAGGTTTGAGGCTCTAATGGATGAGGATCAAAGTTAACCTAGTTAGTCTAGTATAAATGTGAAACCTTAATGTAATCGAAAACAAAAGAGAGAAATAAGATGGAAATCATTTCAGTCTCCTTCACACCTTTCATCTAAAAGCTCTCTATTTTTAGTGTCCCCCAATTTTATGTTATGTGGAGGAGACATCATTGTCGGGGACGGATCCGGAGGCGAATCTATTTATGGCGGAACATTCGAGGATGAGAACTACATCAAGCAGCACACCGGTCCAGGTATACTCTCTATGTCCAATGGTGGTCCAGACTCCAACAATTCTCAGTTCATGATCTGCATGAAGAAGTGTTTTGGACTCGACGACGTGCACGTTGTGTTTGGCCAAGTTGTTGAAGGATTGGATGTGTTCAAGAGCATTATGGAAGAGGTTCAAACTTATAGCGGGAAGCTTTCCAAGCCGTGGTGATCGCTGACTGTGGTCAGATTTCAAATAGATTTAAGAGATTTTATTCTATAAATATAATGGTAGCTTTTCTTGTTTTGATGATTGGTGTGTTTTTGTACTTCGTTCGTTTGGATTTGACTTTTAGAGTTAGGTGTTCCCTTCGAGTTTAGATTGGCTATTGGTAAGCATATATAAAAACCTTTTTGGTTATATATATGAACTTTTGGGTTTGTGTTAGAATGTCTTCCTTTGTTTAATCATGCAACTGAGCGAGTTTAAACTTTAAATTGCTGAGATGAGACGAAGACGACCGTGCTGATTATAGAGAAAGCAGAAGAAAACTCAAAAGAGGGAGAAGAGGAGAAACAGAGAGGTCAAATCATCATGGGCCATTAGTTGGAACTAAGCCCAATTTCTTATAATGGGTCTCAGTAGTATATTGTGTTTTAACTCATTTTCCTTCTTTAAACAACTTGATGACTTGGTCTTGGAGCATAAAGATCAAGAGAAGTAGAGAACAATGAACTCAGTGAAGCAGAGGAAGTGAGTCCAAGACTTAATTTCATTTTTCTTGGGATGACCAAGGATCCGTCGAGATGGCCGGCCAGGCCATGTCCATCGAGATGAGCGTGGAACTGCAGATTCCACATAAGATAGTTGTTGCTTGTGAGTTTTGAGACATTTCATCATATTGATGTTTTTTTTTTTGGTGTGTTCATCATATTGATGTTTAGAACAGTGTTTGAGTTGAGAGGAATGGCGTCATTTGCAGACATGGTGGTGAGATTTCAGATTTGAGATTTGAGATGGTGGCTGGGAAAAAAAAATTTAGGTCTTAGGAGCGTTGCTCTGATACCATATAACAACTGAATAATTTTTATATTGATAGGTTATGAGAATACACATATATATACAGAGGTATGACATAATTAGGGTATTAATAATTACATTTTAAACCCATAACTAATTTAGTATTAACATAGACTCCTATATTCTTGTGTTATTTGCATTTGTTAGTAAGAGAATAACAAACTTTTCTATCTCCCAGTTACCTGCATTATCTGAATAAATGATTCCATCAATTGTTTTTTCCTATTAAAAAAACATAAAATTAGATAAATAAGCTCTGCAAATTGGTCTCAAAACCCTTTAATTTTCAGCTGATTGTGTTATTATGGCTTTATCATTTGTTTGAGCAATGACGTGAATTTATTGATGCTTTGGTGTGAAGCAAAAATAAAATAAAAACATAGAGCATGTGTCAATGGAAACAGCTCAGCTGATGTAGTTGGGTTGTTGAACTTGTTTGGTGGCATTTACACTAACTCCTTAATGATGATTTTTACCTCCCTAACCCCACACATTTAATCTAAACCTTATGGGGTGTTATTCAATAGTGGAGTTAAAATCAATTCTTTAAGGTTTAGATTTGTTTTCTGATATTGGTTTTAAGAATCTGTTTGTGTGGATTTCAAAATCTCTGCAGTATATCTTGGATTTTGATTCTAATAATTTACTCATGAAACTCCAAAGAGGTTTCATTTGAAATGACTTAATATACAAAGATTTTACAAGTCTTTTAGTTTTGAATAACACTGGATTTTACAAACCTTAAAGAATTGACTTTAACTCCACCATTGAATAACACCAAACTTTAATGAAGTATAAGATCTAATAACACCAGATTTTAACGTTAGATTTATAATCATTAGTTGAATAACACTGGATTAGTGTTGGATTTCAATTCTATTAAAATTCATCACTGAATAACACCACCTTAATAAAATCGCTTCAAAACATGTTTAGTACATTGATATTTTATAAATATTTATTAATCGAAAGATTATTATCCTAAATCGACATTGATTATAAAATTAAGAGGGAAACAAAAAATTTAAAAATCACTACGACATAAAATGGTAAAAGTATTTTAACAGAAAAAAAGGTAAGCAATAGCGGAATCTATATATATAATGGGAGAGTTGTCTCTCCATCTAGGGTATTCACATCATCATCCAAGTCATCATAGTTTAAATTTGTATGGGCTCCATATATTTTATATATTAAAACAATAAATATTAAAACTATAATTAGTTTACACATTTTCTAATATATATTATTATATTTCATTAAACAAAAACAATAATTTACAAAAGAATAAATTAAATATTAGAACGAAAAAATAAATCTATAACATAAAATACGAAGCTTTTAAATATAGATTGGATTCCAGTGTTCTAACACTCCTCAAAAAGAGGTTTAGCACTCTACGGCGCTCTTGAATCTCATTTTGTAGTTGCCCCATTTCCCCAGTAATTGCAGAAAGCCTGTTTGCAGCATCCATATCCATACGTGCAAGTACTCAATTTCTTTGATTTGAATTTTATGAAGTGAAGACCCTTATCAAGCCTCCATTTATAGAGTGGTAGAGGAATCTCGCCATGCATGAATATAAAACTATATAATTATATCTTAACATTTAATGAGTAAATATTTTTAAATGACTACAAATATGAAAAAGAAACTTAATATATAATCAATATTAAAAGTTACAATTATTTAGTATAATAAAAAAAATAAGACTTAAAAATATACTAAATTTAAAGGCTTTTACTGAAAATAAAAATTAATTCATTTATGAAAAATACACATCTAAAATTAAGAATATATTTATTAATGTTAAAGTATCAATTCATTATACTTATTATAAATAAGACGGAATGAGTACATATTATTATAATATAATATAAATTGTTACATTAATAAAATTTTATATATTATCAATGTTTTCTAAATTAAAAAGTGTTGGATTTTTAAAAAACAAATCAAATGAATACCTAAAAAAGAAAAACTAAATATTAATCAGGTGTTTAGGAAATTTTAACATAAATCGGAAAACTTTAAGGTGATTTGAAATAAAACAAAAACTATCCTAAACATCACAAATAAAAATAAAATAATCCAATCGAATAAGAAACTGTGTAATAATAATATTGTGAATGCTATTTGAAAATTAGAATAGTAATGGTATATTGAAAATTTTTTTAATTAGTAGCAAAAATTAAGGATTATAAAAAGGTATTTTAAGATTAGAATGATTTATATGAGTTCGTAAGTTACGAATTTTACGAAAATCAACATTAAAAATACTATATAGAATTATAATATATGTCAAATTATATATGTGAATTTATTTTTTGTATTTTTTAAACGGTCAAGATAAAGTGCAAAATTTGATGTTGAAATCCGATGTTTGTGAATAGGAATGAGTCCATATATGAGATTTGCTGTATATAAAACAATTTTACATGCACGAAATATGGTCAAAGAAACTATATGGCAAATATCTCCCGAGATTTTCTAATGTTCACTTTAATAAAAAGATCATGTAACTTATAAAAAAAATTTGAGTATTAAAAGATATGAATGAGAAAATATATACGATCTATCTTGAAAACTAATTCATAGTCGAGTATATTATATGTGAGCTAACATAAGGTGAAAAGAGAGTAGGTGTCGAGAAACGACGAGTGGATTATAGAAGATAACAAGAAAAATTATAGCGAAAAGTGTGAAAAAATATTTTTTGCTATGTAAAGATAATAAACATGAGTAATAAATCTTAAAAATTTTAAATAATTCAAAGATTCGCATTGATAAAGTTTAAATTAAGAAAAATTTAATATTAGAAATAGAAAATTTAAGAAATGCTCATAAACTAATCAATGATGGTGCCACATTTCGATATTAACACTAAATCTACCATAAATGTTACTAATTAAATTCGATATAAACCAAAATGATAATGTAGTTGGAAAGAAAAATAGCAATTAATCGTGAATTCTCAAAGGAACCAAGTGTTTACTAGTGGACCACAATAAATATTTAAAAAATGGATAAGAACCCAATGAAAAAAAAAAAAACTTTATTTAATTAACTTGATGTTACAATTCCCTTACCAAAAAAAAAATACTTGATGTTACAATTCAGTTGAACTCATTCAAACTTAAACCGACCGGTTTAACTCCCAAGAGCTCTACTTGGAGTTGTCGTAAACAAAAAGATCACAATCTCACAAAATTTTCACACACCGACATGTCGAGATCCTTAGCTCTCGTTTACTTATCCATACTTTTACTTCAAACCCAACTCTCAATCTCCGTCACGGTTCCGATTCCGTCGGTGAACGGCGAAATCGACGCAATGCTGAACCGGAACGGCGTAATCGGGGAAGAAGAAGGAGAGGAGATGATGCCGTCGGAGATAAGCCGGAGAGTAATGATGATGCGGAAACGATACATAAGCTATGAAACTTTAAGGAGAGACATGGTTCCTTGTCAGAAACCAGGTGCTTCTTATTACGCTTGTCGGTCTGGTCAGGCTAATGCTTACAACAGAGGATGTAGCGTCATTACTAGGTGTGCTAGAGACACTAACGACATCAAGACATGAAGCATTGGTGAGGCATTTTTCGTGTTCTTTAAGAACATCTGAGTTTGAAACTCATATTCTGTGAGGCAAGTGAAATCTTATTGTTCTTGTGTTTTGTAATGTTGTTGTTGTTGTTGTTTACATTAGATTTCTTAATTACCGATGTGTAATTTTGGAATTATTTGGCTATCATTGTTCAAGTAATTGAGATTTATATTCTTGAAAGTGTTGAGTAGAGTAATAGATGG